TATATATATATATATATATATATATATTGTGTTCCGTACGGAGCAAAAAAACGCAGCAAACGTACGTGTCCGAGTCGACAATGAAAGAGTCTGGGTCTGCCTCGCTCGGCTGTACGCCGTCTTCTTCGCATGCAAACCGCAGTGCCTTCTGCAGTCGCCCATCACGCCACTTTATTAAACCCGATAGCTCGGGGAGTAAACATTGCACATTTATCTCAAACGAATTCCTGATGCTGCAGCTGCTACTACTACTGCTGCTACTGCTAGTGCTGCTGCTGCTACTGCTGCTGCTGCTACTGCTGTTGCTGCTGCTACTACTACTACCACCACTGTTACTGTCGTTGACGCCTGCCCTACAAGGGGCTGGGGCAGCAGAGCCCGAAGCTACAGCGTCCATGCGGAGCGGGCCTGTGCACCAAGACCTCCCGTCGCCAGACTGCGCGTCGTGAGGCTGCATCCGCTGCTTTTGGTTCCACTGGTGCTTCTCATGCTTCTGTTCCTGCCTCTGCTGGGGCTCCTGATTCTGCTGCTGCAACCTCCCTCGACGGTGGTGCTGCTCGCACTGCTCGCGCTGTTGCAGCCGTTGCTGTTGCAGCTCTGGCTGGTGTTGCAGCTGCTGCGGTGGCTGCTGATGCTGCTGTTGAGGCCGCTGCTGGTGTTGCTTTTGTGACTGCTGCGGTTGCCGTTGCTGCGTCTGCGGAAGCAACTGCCTTTGAGGCTGCTGTGCAGCCTGCTGTCGATTTTGCTGTTGTGGCCTCTGCTGGTGTTGCTGTTGTGACTGCTGTGGTTGCTGTTGCTGCGTCTGCGGGAGCAACTGCCTTGGCGGTTGCTTTGCAGCCTGCTGTCGATTTTGCTGTTGCTGCGCATGATAAAGCTGAGAAGAAGCCTCCTCTTCCGAGTCACTACTACTACTACTGCTGCTGCTGAGAATAATTTCTTCCTGAGGCCGTGAGATTGCGTTGCCTTGGCGAGTTGTAGCTCTAAGTGCATTGACTGCTGCAGCAAACGGTGACCGATGCTGCGGGTCGAACCGTCGGTAAGGGCCCGCTTGCGATGATCCTATCCCTTGCTGCTGCCCTCCTGGTGTTGCATGTTCATACACCTGTGGCTGGTTAGGTGCGTGTTGCTGCGGTTGCTGGTACTGTGGAGGCAGAGTAGGTTGTTGATATTGCATTGGGGCAACACGCTGGAACTGCTGTGGGCCAGAAGGCAGGGGCGGAGGGGGTGGAGGGGAGGCCTGCCACTGCTGCAGCTGCCAATGCTGCTGCTGCTGTTGTTGCCCCGGATATTGCTGCTGCTGAAAAAACAGCTGTGGAGGTGCCAGCCGCCCCGGTGGTTGTTGCAGCTGGCTATGGGCCCCCATGTTGCTGTATGTGCTTACATTCTGGTGCATCTGCCACCCGGATGGGGGATACTGCGTATCTTGTCGCGCCTGCTGCGCTGGAGTTTGGGGCCCCCCAGGGGCCCCCGCATTCGGCATAAATCCAGGCCGCATGTTGCGGAAGCCCTGGAAGGTGCCATGTGCACCTCCCGTGCACAAAAGAAGAAGATATTTCGGCTTTTAACCTGACTTCTGGGCACCTCATATACCAGGGACCCCCCAGAACCTTGCTTCGCGAGGGAGGGGCCCCCGGGCCCCTGGCTACCATTCTAGAGCTGAGAGTTGCTCGATTGTGTGCATGATGCCATTGATGTTGTATATTTGCCTTCCAGTGCATTTTTTCCAATTGATTTGCGGTTGAAAAGCGGGGAATTTTCTGTATGAAGCCGGAGGAATCTGTGCTCCCGGCGCCAAATGCATTGGAAGGAGTTGAGTAAGGTGAACTTCTATTGCTAATGTCGGCCTGAGCATTCACTTTTTTGTTTTTTATCGTTTCTCCCGAGCTTACGTTTTCGGGTGCAGACTCGGAAGAAGCCGAATCCAACAGTGTATTTCCCCGTGGCAACAATGTCCGTTTGCTTGGGATGGCCATACTGTGAGCCACGGAGCGTCTTCAAGGGAAATACAAATACACTTCCAGAACACCAGTCGATGACGTTAAGCGCTGTTTGCTGCCTTGGGAAAGCCGCAAGCGTTCTCTAAGGGGAGAGCAGGCTGACCACGACGGAAAACCAACACGCGCCTTCAAATTGCAAAGGGTTGGTATGCTAGGATTTCAATCCTAAAAGAGCCCACGAGGTAGGAGGATGCCGCCAGCGAACATACTTAATGTTTATATGCCCCTGTTTAATGCCTCGCTGCAGCGTATCTAGCCTGAATATTTTCGCATTCATGGACTGACGTATTCATTCGTAAGTGTATACACATGGCATGTATTGAAAAAAGTGTTGGGAAGGGGGGCAGGAATCACGAAGCATGGAAAGGAATTAGTTGAGAAAGGAACAACTACGCCACAGTCTACAGAAGAGCCTATCGCTCTCAAGAGGCTTGATTGCCGTGGTAGGTTTTCCAGATGCCTCGTCACTGATTTGGTGTGCCACAAGCAATGTGGCATCCCCTCAAAATAGCTGTGGGTGGAGGTTGCTCTTCCTGCTCTCTTTCGGAGACTCGTTAAAGGGATATACCGTTTCAGAGAGGACTGCCCTACCTGCATATCTACGACCCGGCAAATGCGTGACCGTTGTGCCGCCAAGCAAGCAAGCACATGAAGGAAAAAGCGCATGGTAGACCGCAGGCTGAAACTTATCAGATCGTAGAGCAGGCCACCTCACACACACGATACCTGGTTGCACCAGAGTAAGGCATGTGGATTCTGAATGAGAGGCATTGAATCATATCCAAAGGATAATAGCGTCGCCGCACTAGCGAAAGAAATTCAACTTAGTACGGGAGGAAGAATTGTTCAAGATAGTTTAATAATGCCGCTAGCGTAATATCGGGAACAATTCCTCTTCGCTTACCAAGCTGGGTATCTGTCTCACTACCAAGTTTAGTACCAGCGTAGGACTAATGTGCCTCAAAAGGTTCTAAGCCTAGCTCTAGTTCCGTAATTCGGTGGCTAGATAATCCGACTCTAAAAACGCATGCTTGTCCTGAATTTGGCTGTCACAAGCCAAATATCCCCATCACAACTGCCTTAGCATGTCTATAGGAACGTTTCTCTGGCCAAAATGATCGAAAGGCGATGCTTTAGTTTGTAGACGTGCTGAAAATGAAAATCGAGGAAGCCATCCCCCATTTGGATTACATGGTATTCCTGTTCGCATTGCGCTATTATTTCACAGGTGTGCCGCCCCAGCTAAACGCCCCCCTGGCTTTTCTTGAACTTGACCGAATAAATAAAATGGCACTGAGGGTAGCACGGCACGATTGCCGAAGGCCCCACCCACGCTACTCCCCGCAGATCGTCCACAAGTCGGACTAGGGTCAAGCTCAATAGGGTCTTCTTTCTCCGCCAAGCCCGTTCCCTTATCTGTGGCTTCGCAATGTAGAATATACTGGCAATGGTAATCTCACCAATTTATTCATGCACGCCACTAACGGGACGGGCAGGCATTGGATACCCTTTTCCTCCAGGACGTTGCTCACAACTCTAAGGCGCAGTTTTCAGATGTGTAACATCCTAGTTATATCCGCAGTTAAAACCCTCGCTGGACTGCATTTCATTGCATTGGCAATCGGAGCATTGGACAGAAATCTCACTGCGTCATCACCGTGTGCGGCCGTCGCAAGGTTTCCTATTAATTTACCAGTCGGATGCCCCTTGTTCGGTCCACTTCTAAGTTAGCTGTTCACTGTATACGCAGACCAGCAGTAACATCGTAGTCAGTTTCAGCGGTCCACTGACGAGTCGCAAAGCACGAACGGGCCCACGCAACTCCGACAGGTGAAGAGTCCTCTGGCTCTTCGGATTGGCCCGCTTAGCCAATCCGTCTGCCGAAGGTACGGATCCTTCTTTCCGAGTTTCGCTATATACTCTTCCTGAGGCTTCTACGCGCGGAGACCTGATGCGGTTAGGCATACGGCCTGGGCCTCGAAATACAAGGATTCTCCCTCTTTTTTCCAGGGCAGCCAGGAGCTTAGCGGACTCCCTGGAGGGCAGAAAGCTTTACGAGCACTCAACCTCACCTCCAGATAATCTGATTCAAAGACACGTTTCCGGAGAGGCAGTTAAAAAGCAAGGCCAACGCGTCCCTGGACACCCGCCTGCGTGGAAGAGTTCTCTCATGACGCCGTGCACCGTCCACTGCCTCGTTCAGGAATATTGACCTGGTTCCCTGAGGGTCCAAGAGGGTAGAAAAGCCCCAAAGTTCCCGCAGTTAAGCCGCCACTTAGGACCGGCTAGCTTGTTTCCAATTGATGCTCACATAGGAAATGCCCTCCACTTGATTCGTCGAAGTTTCCATTTGGATATGTGTTGCTGCCACCAAGATCTGCGCAATAGTCAGTTCCACACAAGCTTCCGCCGAAAGCTTCGCCACGATCACCACGCCTTCCTGCGCACTATCATTACCTTAAAAATCGCAGTGCTCACAACTTGCCTTAATAGCTTGCTCTTGGTAACCCGCTGCACCGCTGTGCATGTTGAGGGCTGGTGAAGTCTGGAGTCATGCTGTACTCAGCGGGTTTCCACTTTAGCGACTACCGTCCCGGTGTCAAGGGGAACCAACGCCCTTTGTGGTGTCTTATGGGAGAGTATTTGAGCACCTTAATCAAAATTGCTCATCGCCATTTCTGCGTGCTGGCAATGGCCGTCTCGGAATTCATTGTAAACCCAACGGTCCCATGAAGTACCATTTGGCTTCTTCTGGTTTAAGGGTCGGGAATATGTCGAGAACAACGCACTCGAGAGGCGCCTAACCACCCGCTGTACACACAACTATTTCAACTCCCGTTGCGTTGCTGATGGTGTTTTCGGGTAAAACCCGCTACTAGAAAGTTTGAACAATCGTTCTCCCCTTCACATGTGGATGCCCTCATCCTTAAAAGTCATTTGTGTTGTGTTTGACTAAATTTGCAAGCGGCACCAACGGTGGAACAGCCACACGTTTACAGGTTGGCACGAGATAAACATGTGCCTCCAAGTTTGGAGCTGAGGCTTTGACTTACTGCCGTACCTCATGCATGGAACAGTCGGAGCCATGCCTATATCGTAAAATGTCATTTGTTTAGTGTTCCGCCAAATATGCAAGCGGCACCAACGCTGAAACAGAAACATGCAAGAACAGGTTAGCCGCTGCTACGCATGCGTTTCCAAGCGCGGTGCTGAGACTTCTTTCTTCCTGCAGTGCTTCACAAATGGGTCTTAAGGCGTCACGCCCATAGCACTGCAGCTGAGCCATTCATTCAACCTGTTGCAGTGTCTCCTACATCTACTTTTCCCTCGCAGTTTCCACGAGACAAGAATACCGCCGCCCTGAAAGGACATCTGCCTTTGCCTCGCAGGTCCCTGCAAGTCACCAGGGACCCCAACACGCAGTAAGGGGGAGGCATACCCAAGGGGAGCTCCCCGCAACTAAGCCGCCTTCAGGTGATGGAGTTTCTTTACCCTCCAAGGAAACGAAGTACGTGTGCCAGCTGTCGCTCCGATCCATAGCTGGCGGGCGGCTATGTGTCTCGCTGCTATCTGCTGAGGCCTCTCTGTCTTCGGCGTTGCTGCTACACGACGACGAGATTAACAGCCCTAACCATGCGCTTAAATAGGTCCTTTTGCTGCCCCAGTGGGAGGCTGCTAGGAAGCGTCCTTTGTGCGATGAGGGCGGAGAAGGCCGAAGTGAACGGCCTGAGCTGCTCTTCGCTGCGGCAATTTTCTGCGAGAGAAAGACACCTGGAGAGACAGGCGAATTCCTCCTCTGGCTCAATCACGTAGTATGGTACCCAGCTAAGCAGGCATACATCCCGCAGATCCCGCAGCAACGCACACACGGCAGCCTTAATGAGGTGCAGTCGGTCACTGTCTTGTTGCATCTCCTCGCTACCGGTGGCCCCCTTGGCCTCCCCTATAGGTTTGTCTCCAATCACTTCCTCAGCCCGCTCCAGTAGAGGCTCCACAGGAGAAACAGACACATTTCTGTCGCCGCTGTCGCCGCTGTTGAAGGCCAACATAGATGCCCCACGGCCTGTAGACGGCGCAGAGACACCCCGCGGTGTCTCCTCAGCTCGCGGGCTCGAAAATATTGCAAACGAGGAGACAGACGAACTCGACTGTCTCCTTCCTCCTGACATGCGGGGCAATACGCTTTCTCCCTCAGGCTCTACAGACCCTCCGACGACTTCCCCGTGCTCCCCGCCCCCCGCCACTCCAGCAGCAGTAGCAGCAGCACCAGCAGGTGCAGCTGTTGCCGCTGCGGCGGCGGCAGGTTGCAGCGAATCGTCAAATAAGACTTCTGTAGCGCCCTGCTGCTTACTTCCCCTCCCCCCCAAACTTAGAGACACCGGAAGAGGAGACCCCGTGCTGGTGGAGGCTGTTGGGGTGGCAAACAACAGAGACGAGAGACGGTCAGGTGCCTCCGCTGCTGTTCCTTCGGAGCGAAGACCCCCGCTTAGCAGCAGCTGCTGATGCTGCAGAGACTCCTGCAAGGCACGAGCTGCTGCTGCCTCCGCCGGTAAACCCAAACCACTACCAGCAGCCAGCAATTCTCTCTCCTGTATACTGCGGGGCTTGCTGCTGCTGCCGCTACCACTACTACAACTGCTGCTACTGCCGACGGTGTTGTTGCTGCTGCTACTGAGCAGCCCCGATATGCGGCGCATCAGGGACACCTCTGCCTCGAGCAGCAGCGCTCTTGCTTCTGCTGGGTCCTGTCCCGCAGCAGCAGCAAGCGCTGCTGCGGCTTTTGCCTTTGTCAAGGCTAGATCATCTTCTGTAGCTGCTGTTGCTGGCTGCGAGACTAGAGCATCGGAAACATCGCGTAGAGGCGGTGTCTCCTTACACAGCTTCGCTAACTTTAAAAAGACGCTGGAGGGGGTCCACGCGGGGGGCCCCCTCTTAGCAGGACACGGAGATTGAGACGGCACCTGTGAAGACAAGCAATCTTGCAGCAACTGCAGCTGCCGCTGCTGCCGCAGTAGGAGCTGCTGCTGCTGCAGCAACTGCTGCTGTTGGGGAGTTGAGGACATCTCCAGCAAGTCACTCTCACACGGTTCCAGAGCACCCCAGCCTGCCGTTGTTGCTGTCGTTGCCGCCGCTGCTGCTGCTGCTTGTGCTGCCGCTGTTCTGATGTCCTTATCGCCTCTCCTCTGATGCGCAAAGGTGTTTTCGTAGTCGTCGTGCTCATGGAGGCGGCTCCAAGCGGCTCCATGGGGACCCCAAGCGTTATCTGAGGGGGCTCCCACTGCCGCTGCTGTAGGTGTATCTGTTGTCCTGCAGACATCCGCCGGCACCCGTGCTGCTGGCTCCCCAGCAGCAACAGCGGGAACATGCAAGTGCTGATGCGAGTGCTTTTGCCCCCTATGTGGCCGCAGAATATGCGGCGGATGTACAGCTGGAGCAGCTGCAACAGCAACAGCAGCACCGGTAGCCGGTGGAGCAGATGAGGCCTTGTTGCGTAGCCTGAAAAATACCTGGGGTTGTTTACCATTTTCTGGTGTTGGCTGCCTGTTAGCAGCGGCTGTATCGGTTTTGTCCGTTTTATGTTCTGCAGCAACTGTTGCTGCAGCAACAACAGCATTTGCAGTAGCAGCAGCACCAACAGCGGGTGGTGCCGCAACAGCAGAAGCAACATTTGCAGGTGTAGCAGTTCCTCCTGCTCCACCTGCTGCTTGAGTGGGTGTTGTTCTTTGGTTTGCATGATGATTATTTATAGTTATATGTTTATTATTCATATTATTATTATTATTATTCTTACTATTATTATTATTATTATTGTTATTATTACTATTATGGTATTCTTTATAATAATCCTCACAATTAGCTCTTCTGCATTTAACTGCCATGTGCCATGCTGCATCGAAACCGTTTTTCTCTACAGAAAATGACTTAAAGAAACGCTGCCCATCTCTTTTCCAATGGGCGATCCAACGAGGACAAGTTGGATCAAATTTTACACCTACTCTATGAGGTAACAAGCGAGCTCGTAATGCCAAGTCTTCTCGGAGCTTTTGACGCTGCTGATAATCCCTTTCACGAGAAGTACTACTACTATTACTGCTGTTATTGCTTCCGCTACTTCCGCTGCTGCTGCTGCTGCTGTTGCTGTTGGTGCTGCTGTTGTTGCCGTTGCTGCTGTTGTTACTGTTGCTGCTGTTGCTGCTGTTGCTGCTGTTGCTGCTGTTGCTGCTGCTGGTAGTGGTGCTCGCCTCCGAAACGGCCTTGTCTGAACCTGCGCACACTACTAAATTCCTCACTTTCCCTGTTGCTGGTCCCCTTGCAGATTCGGCACCAAGTGTTGCTGCTGCTGCTGCTGCTGGCGGAGCCTCCGCCGCTGCAGCGGCGCATCCGGCCGATGAAGGAGTTGCTGCTGCCGCGGCAGCAACATTCACATCTGTACTGCCATTCCAGCCATGCGCAGGCGCAGAAGCCGCTGCATGCACTGGGTAGTTACTGCTGCCGGACAGAGATGCTGAGGATTGGTAAGCAGCTTGTGGGGACTGTTGCGTTGCCGTTTCCTGGAGGGAAGGTGTTGATTTGGTGGGGTTGCTATTGCCGGCTTGTAGGTCTAAATTGGCATCAAAATGCCTTAAATACGCTAATGCTTCTTCTCTTGCCCCCACAAAACCAAACTTACGCACAGAGAAAGAACGACAAACTCTTCTGCTGCGGGTTTGTACCCTCACAACCCACATTAGGGTTTGAGGGGAGAACGTTAAGCGGTTAATACGCGGCAGCTGGCGTGCTAGGCGCACCAGCTCCTCCCGACACCCGCGAAGGCTGCCGTTGCCGCTGCTGCTGCCGCTGCTGCTGCCGCTACCGCTGCTGCTAGTACTACCGCTGCTGCTGCTGAGCTCGCGCGGCGCAACGGACCCATTGGAGCTACGAAGGGGAACAGTTGCTGCTGATCCCGATGTTCCGGTCTCTACACACTCAGCAGACAATGCAGGAGAGGATGCTCCTCCTGCATCAGGGGAAGGGGGTGAAGCGGCCCCAGGCGGGGCCCGCAATAAATCCGGCTGCTGCTGCAAGAAGTAACGTTGCAGCACCTCCTGCAGCTGCTGCAGTAGTGGATTATCTTCTCTGCGGGAGGCGAAAAGAGCATCCACAGCTGCCGGGAGCGGATTTGTTGGCGCTGCTGCCACTGCTGCTGCTACAGCTTCTCCAGGGGCCCCTGCCCCCCGACTCGGGGGTGCCCCACGGCGCATCTGCTGCAGCTGCTGCCGCTGCTGCAGTTACAGCTGCTGCAGCACCTGCAGCTGCTCCTGCGGGAACAGGAAAACCCTTGGGAATTCTAAGGCAGGCGGTTGAGCTGTAGAGGGAGGTAACGATACAGCGGGCACACAACGCAGGCACTAACGAGACATGCAGCGGTGCGGTTTGCCGGGAGAAGGAACTGACTGTACACCTGAAAAAACAAACGAAGAAAGAACAAACCAGAAGCCCAAATGGGGCGGGCAGGGCCCCCTTCCGCTATTTGCGTGGGGGCAGCACGGGCCGGGTGCGGCCGCGCTGCCCCTCACGGGGTTCACACCTTGCAGACTGCAGCAGAAACGAAGCACATGAGACCCAAAAGGAGACAACAAATGGGATAAACCATTACTATACACAGGGGCCCCTTCGTGCACTTGGAGATATAGAGGAGGGTGCGAGCCCGTGCCCCTGGCTCAGTGGCGTCGGGCCCTGAAGGCCTCTGAGCCGCAGAGCTGCTGCTGAACAATTACAATGAAAACCGGTATTAATATGTAAAGACAAAAAGAAGGAGAAAAAATACAAACAGGGGCCATCCCCTCAAAGTATTCAACCACCCACACAGGTAGGGAGAACCACGAAGAGGCTGGGGCCCGAGCCTTGGGCTTCCTTGCTATTCAGGGTTTGGTGTGGGGAGGCGGGCGGAGGACTTCTACACCACAAATCAATCTAACTTTGTCTCTTTTTACTCCCCTATCTTTGTTTTAAGTAGAAGGAAAAGAAATGACGTTCTTTTTTGCAGAATATTAGCCCCTCCTGCCCCTAACAGCTGCCACACCCGCCCCAAACAGAGAGCACCCGACAGAGGAGGATGCACGGGCGGGCAGCGGACACCTCCCCAAGATACACCTCTTTAGTCCTTCTTCCTGCATTTTCTCCTGGCTATGATGTGCAATATAAACTGCACATTCCTATTGACGGTAGATCCGTTGCACCGGGAGGCTTCCCAGCTTTTCCTTCCTCCTAATTCCAGTGTAGCGAGTGCCCTGTCGGTCCCAGCTAACCCCAGTATTGAGTTGCTGTAGTATTACAATATTTGAGTTCAAAGCTAACAAATAACACCTAACGTTCCTTCCACTCTCCAACAATCCCGCGCACACCAGCAAAAGTGCGCGGGTAGCTTGGTGCAGCCTGCACCATATTTTGCCTGGAGTTGACGAGCTTGTCTCATGCTGGCGCATAATCCTTTACTTGGCCTTAGTAGGCAACTGCCACGCAGGCACAAGCCCTCCGCAATTGTACATAGTGCTAGTGCACTCAGTAAAAAAGCCTTTTCTGTGCCTGCATGTGGGACTGTCTTGCACCATTTGTTGTGGTGAGGTGCACCCCAACTAGTGAGAGATTGTCTCCTCCCCCGCAGTTACAATTTCGTGAGCTGCTTTACTGAGGATAGCAGGTGACTGAATGAAACGTTATTAGTTGCTCTTAGCTAAGGGTCATCTTGTGTCCATTGGCTCTGTTCCAGGTCGCATGATCCCTGGATAAGTTGGTGGACTCACATAACATTGATGTTGCAGGGTGTGCTGTGCTGGATTGGTATGTATCACTCCACTAAAGTACGGGCTGCGCAAGAAAGATCAATTCAGTGTTCAACAATTATCTGTAGTGCCAGTGCATGCTGAACAATGGGAGATGGTCGTGCTTTCATGTGGGGTTGTCCTGCAGGACTAGTTAAGCTGGCACTGTTGTCCCTCCACCTCGGCCCATACTATCGCCGTACCCTAGGCCACCTTGCTTAGTGTGCCTATGGCCTAAAGCAGTGATCAGAAACTCTGGGGATACTCGGATATTCAATTTTTTGTCTCTATTGCTGCTCACGCCATCTCTGGGTGAATTTCGCCTTTTCCTTTTACATTGGGCAGCACCTCATGGCTCATCGCTGCAGGTGCGAGCAGGAAACTCTTCTTCCCACAGAGGGGAAATCTGGTGCACAGATATTTTGGGTAGCGACGGCACCGGCTTTGTAGATACCAAGAGGCTAGCAAGCCTGCCGCCTTGAACCAATCAAAGTACCCAAAAGAGAAAAGTGGTTCTGCATGAAAATTAATAATCTAATAATACATTTGCCCTTATTAACCGTCGAGTTACAACCGGTGTCGTGGATCTGGGGCAGCGTAGCAGCTCCGCACAGCTCTGCATCTGTGATTCCGTCTTCAATATTGCGTCTAAAAGGCTTGCACTTGACATCTTTGATATTTGAAGGGGAGGAGATAGAATGCTTGGCCTAACCCGGAAAACATTCGGTCTTTTTTTCCAAACGCAATCAACATCAGTAAAACGAAGGGAACCTTCCGAGATCTTACGAACCATTCGTATAGTCGTCCCACGTTAGCAAGGGAGCACGCTATGGCAGAACTGATTAAACCTAATTGAAGGAAGCTGCTGATAGAGGGTTGCATCGAGAAACGCGAGTTCGTTGTAAGCAGGTAGCCAAATGCCGGAATACGTGTTTTCGAAGCGTGGAAACGCATTTATATTCCCGGAGTCGCAGCCACAGAAACGTATTGCTGCGCAGACAGCAGCTAGAGCAGTAACAGCAGCGGCTGTTGCTGCACAGTGGGCCTCTGCTTTCAATCTGCAGCAGCTGTTGCAGACTGAAGTGGCGAGGGCTGATATGATGTTTCGCGCGCAGCGGTTGTTTATGCATACCACATCCTCAAGGCGTATACTAGAAACCTACTCGACTTGTTGTTCCACGGACGGCGGTGAAACCAGAAGAGGTTTGCCCACGAAGTGTAAGGCAAGCATTAGCTCACGCCGGCACCTGCAGTGGGCGCAGCAGAATCAAATTCTGCTGCTGTCCTAGGCCACAGCACACATAGAGAAATATTGACGGCAACCCCACTTAATTTCTTATGCAGCGATGGACTCAGGAGAGACGAGGCGGGGAGGGTGTTTCGACAGCTACAAGAATCGGGAATGCCGACACTGGGTGCAGGCGAACGAATTCATACTTTTCCTTGTCCGTGCAAGGAGCAATGATGCAAGGGAAACTTCTTGCTTCATATGCATGAAGTGCCCCCAAGGAAAGGTCTCGCATTTTAGCTCCTGTAAGTTCTCCTTCTTATCCCAAATCAACATTATAAGATGAAGGAAAAGCGAATGTGACACGAGCACTCCCCTAAGTCAACCCGCCCCTTGTCTAACCAAGAGGGAAAACCGGGGTGTATGGTGCTTAAAAGGGGAAATGGCAATTGGCTGTTGCAGCATGGTCTGTCGGACATGAGCAAATGTACCTGGACGTGCAGGCTACTATTGTAGGCCAACCCCACGTCCTCAGTCCGTTGGGTGCCGTGCGCTGCACGTCTAGGGACTCTGCAGGATGCCGGCTGCTTCTGGGGAGCTCTCGCCTGCTACGAAGGTCTCTTGCCAAAGCCGTAGACTTTTACCATTGCCGTTAGGCAAAATGTATTGGAATAATATGAAAAGAAAAACCGCAGTAGCTACCCCACCAAAGTACTCCCCAGGCATCCTGGGTGGTTCAGCTGCTCGGTGTAGGAGGTATTGCGGGAGAGCATGCTGCATGCTATGAGTTACGAAGAATTTCGGTGTCGTCCCCTTTGCTGCATGGTGACCCCACAAGCGAGTCTTGTCACCACCCTGTATGCTCCATGGGCTAGTAGCACCGTCGCAAGTGCATAAAAACATGCCAGGCCCTTACTGGTCAGCCTGCATTCAAGAAGTACGTTCGCCTAGTGCAGGCATCCTATGCTACACACATTTCTCCACCCCAACACTTGCTGCCGGCCATCCGCGCATGCAAGCATTGCGTGGCCCCCTCGTTTGCATGCAGCAAGTCCTTAAAAAGTTGGTAACGTCTTCTTCTGCGCTGTCTGCCCTGCATGGACAGCCTGTTTGCAAGTATAACAGCTTCTATTGCCTTTATTATGCTGGAAGACAGTATGTACTGTAGGTGCACTTCCGACGGAGCCAACTACAGCACTTATTATTAGTGCTGCTGAGGAGCAGAGATGTGCATGCAGCAGCTGCCAAGCAAACAAGAGGGGGAAAGGAGAGAGGAAGGTTAGAGACAACAAACAAACGGAGACACGATGCAGATGATTACGCCTTCCTTCTCTAGGGCCTTCGGGTGTATTGGCAGCTCTGTGGTCAATAACCAACGCGTGCAGCCATGCTACGAGCTGCAATAAGACCATTTAAAAGACTAATAAGGATATTTAAATAGTTTTATTTAATATAAAGTTGCACACTGTTATAAAGATTGGAGCAAAACAACAGCAGAAGCAGCAACAAGAGCAGGAGCAGCAACGGCAGCAGCACGGCTGCTGCTGCCGGTCCGGTGGTCGTGGGGTCCCCTCCTCCCGCGAGACGAGCTTCGTCCTTCTGTCTCTCTTTTCCCTATTTTATTGTCTCTAATTCTCTTGTTAAGTCTTATTTTTCTTTTAAATAAAGAGGAAATTGCTGCTGCAGTGACACCTTGAGGTGTATGTACACTCTGGTGTGTTACGAGTAGTCGCCAGGCGCAGTTAACAACTGCTGTAGGAGCGAGTAGGAGCCGCACTCCCTAAACCCTAAACCCTAAACCCTAAACCCTAAAGGGGAGGTTTTAATAGACTGTCTTCTGTTGTTTCTTACAGACAGCACATCCTACAATTAACCCAACAACAACCCCCGCTGCTGCTGCTGCTGCTATTGCTGCTGCTGTTGCTGTTGTTGCTGCCACTCAGGGAGGAGAGGAGATGGGCACAACCCCATAGAGACATATTCTTCCTGCTGCAGCTCTTATAGAGCTGAGCCATCATGGCTTCCCTTCCTAGACCCTCTAGGGGCAGCAGCAGCAGCAGCAGCAGCAGGAGGCTGCTGGGGACGCCGTTATCTACGGAAGCTGCTGAGCCCCTTTGCCCAGACACACCGCAGCAACCGCAGCAAGCAGTAGCAGAAGAAGCAGCAACAGCAGCAGCAGATGCTGGTACTGTTGGTGGTGCTGCTGCGGCTA